ATACTTAGAGAGCCACCAACAAGAATTGAAGAGATGGGATACCTATCATTAACCATTGGGGTTGATGTTATAAATCATTTAGATGTATTATAGATATATTCGATGTGAAATCAAAGAGTCAGTTACTATGCTAAAAGAATGGAACTCTTTAAATTCACTATTTTGTTTTGATCCGTTAATGTTTATATCACTTGGTTCATTTTAGACACCAAGTCATCTAAACACTTTCTGGGAAAATTTTTCTGAAGAGGATTGCAAGATTCCAATAGAACATTCTAGCTTCTTGCCCTGATTGTACGCTCAGTGTTTTGTTTTGTTCATGCAAATCATATGATTGTGTACTTTTTGGAATTATAATAATAACTTTATTTGCCTATACAGTGTATATTTTGCATTTCATGTGTGCACTTTTCAGCCACTTTGAAGAAACTTTTCCAAATACTTTATTTAGTCTGTTAAAAATCCTTCCACCTGGTAATGTTAGTTGAATGCGATGGTAAATACATACCATTCTTTGCCTTCCGTTAGACTGCTTTAGTATCTGTGTATGTGAATTATTGACAGAATATTACTTTTACAGTAGAGTTATAACTGGCCAAGTCCTAAATACAGCTATGACTAACCCCATGGGGGAAGATTCCTAATAATTTTCTGTTTCTTGTGTTAGTGACAGGTTTCATGTGTACAGTCAGCTATTAAAGCATTAGAGTTTCTTTCATTTCTTAATCATTAACAACTTTAGCTCTGATTACCCATGGAGTTGCAAGCTGTTAAAATTATCATTTGCTTCTTACTAATTTTTAAACCAAGTGCTGTTTTTTCATTTGATGTTGTACAGGTCTTTCTCAGAGCACATACAACACAGGAGCACTAAGAGTCTACTATGGGAAAACCTAATCTAAAAATGAATTCGTAAAGTAAATGGGGATAAATGGATGGGAATATACTTAAATATTAAACAGTTTTTTTTAAGGCATTCAGCAGAAAGGGCTTGTTTTGTTATCATTCTCCAAATGTAATAAATTTGGTAAGTTTACAGTAATTATTTTATTAAAATATAGAGAGGCAGAAAATCTAAAACTTATGTTTCAATGCTTAAAAGTCAGTTGAAATTCAACCAGAGTTAAGATAATGTAGAATTATCATTTAATTCAATAGAACACAAAAAATCTTAGAAAAATTATATTTATACCAGCCTTTTAAAAACCATGTACCTACAGTACCCTGCCCATAGTAAGTTCTCAATAAATATTTGTTAAATTGATTTGATATATGTAAAGATATATTGATTTGATATATGTAAAGATGATGTGATAAAATGAAATATGTTACTTTGAATATTCATTCAAAGCTATTTATTATATATCCCAGTTGTAGTTTATTGGAAAAAATTAAACTGATGTCATGTTTTATTAAAAATGACTTTTCTCTAATATTAATTGGTATATTTCTACGACACTGAGCTGTGGACAAGGCTGTGCCAGCTACTGAAACATATCAGAAGCTTGTTAAACGAACCAGTTCCTAAGCCCTGTTCTCAAGATTTTAGAGGGTAGATCTAGGGTGAGGGTAGGTTTTTTAATTTTTTGGCTTGATATGCAATTAGGTTTTAAAATCATGCAGAGTAGAATAATAGACACTGGGGACTCCAAAGGGAGAAGGGTTCGGGGTGGGGGTGAGTGATGAAAAATTGCCAGTGAGTAAAATGTACACTATTCAGGTGATGGGTATACTGAAAGCCTAGACTTCACCACTATGCAATATATCCATGTAATAAAGCTCCACTTGTATCCCATAAATCTATTGAAATAAAAAAACAAAACCAATGATATTCATCTACAACCATTTCTTCTAACAAGAATCAGTTACCACAGGTATTTGTTTAGCCTATTTTTAATGTAATTATTCTTGACTTCCTTTTAAACTTCCTTCTCTGGGAAGATGCAAACCTCTGAGGTGATGGTAGGGATAGGTTGTTTTCCTTAGACAGAGTACCAGGAGAATGAACAGCTAGCTTTTCTCAGCCCAATATTTCTGATTTCTCAGGATTTTTTTTTCTAAGTACCAATCCAATGCCAGGCAATACATTGTGGATATACCAATACATGATTCATTATTCAAAGAAGGAAAAGCAAAAATCAGCACTACCTAGAAGTTCTCTTATATTTAAGAGGGTTCACACTAACCTTCTTGTACATGAACCATATTCCTGCCCTTCCTGATGTCATTCTTTATGGCACATACTGCTTCCAGACTTTGTCCCAACGTCTTTTCCCAGGAGGCACAAAATAAGGTTCTGGCTTACAGAGGTCCTATGGCCGGGACAACCAGGAATGGATACACATAGTGTCCCTTTGCTCAATTTTTGTCCATTTTTCAGTCCACCATTCACCTTGCTACTCTTCCTCTTATGGTTAGAATGGAAACATTTCCCAGTTCTGACTATATTTTCTCTGTTTTTTTTTTCTTTATTTCTACTATGTAAGACCTTTTCTTAAGTACTGACCTGCACAGTTTCTCCCAATCCTATCAGCTTATCTCCTTTTTCCCCTTTAAAATTTGATCTAGATGCATTTTCCATCTCCGACATATTATAGTGTATCTTTAATTAATGCTTTTCAATATCATTATTATTAAACATAATCATACATTAATTATAACACATCATGATTTTGATTGCTTATTTAAAATATATTATCTGCTACCCTTAGAAACTCCTAGCATTTATAATACCAACAGCTATCTCCGTCTTCCTAAGGAAAGAAGATAAATTTGCTTATAGGCTACAGGCTTCTTAAGCACTATGGGCAGATAGATTGTGACATAGCATCTGTCCTCTCAAAACTTATGCTCTAAAAGGAATGTATGTCATTTTCTTTTTTGATTAAATTCTACTTTCCTTTGATATTTTTGCCTATTAAGTATCCATAGTTTACTAAATGCTGTGTAGGACAAAGGAAATCTGATAGAGCATAGCTGGGAAAAGTCTCATAGTAACTTTAAAATCCTGCATTAGAACCTAAAGTAATTGAAGTCTATAGGAAATATTCCCATCTTTTCCTTCTCCAGGGTAAATAATTCAAGTTCCTTTAACCACTTTTGTTTAAACTCCATGAATCCCAAACTTCATTAACTTAAATGAAGAAACATGGTTAAGCAATTTTAGACTATTTTATTAGTGATCCATAATTTCATAGCTGAAAAAGGGAAGCTAAAATCAAATGAAACTTGGAATGAATCGATGAGGACAAGAAATGTCCCTGAATGAAATGAGGATAAAATCATTCAAGTCTGTTAGAACAGAATGGTTTGCAATTGTTCCCACACACAAGTACACAAAGCATTTACCTCATGAAGTTTCTTTGCCTTCTCTAAGATAAATCTTTAAGGAGGAAGAAAATCAGAAAAACATTCAATTTTTAATAAATGGCACTTCTAGCACATCACAATACTAACTCTTCTATTATCTCTTGGGATGGCCCCAATTGAAAACTACTTCCCATAAAGATTTCCATTAAATAAAAGATTAGGCTTGAGTTATTCTATATCATTAGAGAACAGTGATGGAGAGGGTCACTAAAATTATAATCATAAGGATAGAGCGTGTTGTACCCTTTTTCACCCTCTTCATCCTCTGATTTTGTTTTTGCTTTTCATAGTTGTCTGTAAGATACTATCACGTAAGAAATAAACGTAAATGTCATGAGAGATTTGGCAGTTTTCTTGGAAGTTTTATTTATCTAAATAAATAACATCCAAGATTGAATAATTTCCTAAGCCAACCTGAGCATTAGTGTGTACATTTCACCAGGTCCATTCATTTCATATCTGTTGTCAGAGTGCAAGCTTTTTTGAGTATGTCCTGTTCACTTATTAGAGGCATTATAATTCATAATAACTTTATATTAATGATGCAGTTGAGTTATGGTATTAGTATAAGAGTCAAGTGTCTGGATGGTGAGAATATTAGATTCTTTTGTTTATAAATATAATCAGAAATAGGAAAAACAAACAGGACAGACATCATAATGTGAATGATGTTATCTCTAGGGGTGAGTTTATTATAGATTTTAATTTTTTCTTATGCATTTCTGTTATTTCAAAATTTCAAAAATAAAGAAAAATAAATGTAATCGGAGAAAAAGAAGAAATTTTAGTTACTGCTTGCTTACTTTGTGTTTGCTTGTCCTAGGAGACTTGGCCAGGATTTTTTTCATATGCGCTATTTCTCTCTCAAGACGTTTTCTTTCTTGCCCATGCTGCTGAAGCACATTTTTTCTATCTTAGCCGTATGGAAAGTACATAAGTTTGTACGACTAGGACCTAAAGATAAATACATAATTGTAGCTGACTTACTTTTTCTTTTGATTTGGTAAATTAGGTTTGCAAATGGGTTTTTGCATGTATTTTGCTGCAACATGATGCTTGTGGTCTTTGTATTTGCAGATGTGAAGAAGTGTCAAGGGAGATAAATGTATTGAGATGCATGGTTCTAGGAAATATGAAAAACAGTATGGTAGGGTTTGTAGGCTGATCATATTTTAGCAATATTAATTAATTGAAAACCATTCATCAACCTTTTTCAGGCCTGAGCTCCTAGATCATAGTTCAGATTAAAGTTCCAGTGTATTTAAAATGTTCCTACCTTGATCCATTGGCCATTAAAAGTTATTGTGTATTAACTTTTAATGTGTGTTAGAAATATAACTATGAACATCTTTGCTGCTGCTTTCCAAAGAAATACCTCATAATTCTTTCATTTTTGGGTAAATTTCTGGATTTTCAAAAATGCATCCCCTTCACCCACCCCTCCCCAGTCCTTTCTCAGTTGAAAAATTTTCTGCATCTAACTTTATGAGGCTATCAAGGAAAAAAATTTTGCAACTATCATGAGACATTAAAGAAGATAGAATAAAATTAAATGCCTTGGGAGTTTGGGGTAGTACAAAAAAGCAAGGAATAATTTGGTGTATTTGTTTTTTCCCATCTAATATTTTTAGGTACAAGCCTATGCAGAAAGTGGATGGGGTTGCAGATGGTTTCACAGGAAGTGGTCAACAGACAGGCACATCTGTTGAGCAAACTGTAATTGCCCAAAGCCAACATCATCAACAATTTTTAGGTATGTTAAGGTATAATGCATATTAGTTTCTGTTAGGATTTTGTAAAGAAAACAATGGTAGTCTTTTCTCCAAATGAAATGTCTATTACAGATGTTAATTACATAGAAATATTTTTTAGTGCTGATGAAACTATGCACATCATATATATAATAGTCCTAGTTCATGTCTACTTTTCATGTTCACTATAGCTTATTTTTTAAAAATCTCGAGCTGTAATGGACTTTTAAATGCATATGAATTAAAGGCTCACTGCTATGAAATTGTTTTCTAGAATTTGTATTAATTGGCTTTTATGATCAAAATTGTGTTGTGTTTACTTTCAATAGTACTTCAAGTACCAAAAAGAATTCTCATTTCCTTTGTTTAAAGTTACATATGCATATAGTCACAGATTAGAAAAAAATATTATAAACATTTAAAAAGTAACATTCTTTTAAATCTATCACAGTACTTTCTATTTTTTATAATTTGTAGATGGTGTACATGTTTCTTGTTATTGGAAGAGTTAGAAAGTGGAACACTTTGCATATTCCTTCAATAGCAAAAGTATCAAAAATGGCACTTTAATTTAATTGACATCTCTTCTAGAGATGAACATGCATAGTTTCCATACAACCACAGCAAGATAAGTAGATGCTATCAGAGAGTGAGTGTGTGTATGTGTCTGTGTGTGTGTATATGTGTCTATGTGCACTTTCTGACAAAAACAACTAAAATAGACTCTCAGGTTGGAATCGCTACTACAATTGAAAACATCATGGCAGCATTTCCCAAACTAAAGTCCTCAGGTATATTCTTATGGATCCTTGAGCATTCAATGAAGATTTTATTTAGTGTTTTTATTTAAATTATAATCTTAAAAAACAAGCATATTCTGAATTACCTAGAGAACTACAACTAAATACTCTACAATTTTAATTTCCACATTTGTGTTTGAATTTATAAGAAGACAGGTATCAAAGTGAATTACATTAATTGTCCAGAGCTAATGAGAAAAGAACAGAGAGAAACTTACTATGTAAATTACACCTTCATCCCAAGGGAAGGCTAAATGATATCCCTACACTCTGTGTGAAAGAAAATTTCACAGTCATTTGCATATAGAAGAGTAATGGGAGAAACAGCCACCACAAAGCACAGGTTGGTATAGACCTGTCAGACTCAGAAGATCCTGTGCTGTAGCAGTCAATACTGTATTCTTGTTGTGAGAGATAATTTAGTTATAGGACAAGAGCATCATTTATCACATCAAATTAATGTTGTTAAGTTTAATGTTATTTTTGTAATTTTCATTGTATTCATTTTATAGCTCTTTTGGTTTATAATTATATAAAAGGTGTGAACATAATAAGTTTAAAGCTAGATTCATTGTTTATGTATTTAAGTAGCATAATAAAAATAACCAAATTTGATTGCAAGCTCGAGATATTTTTCTTTTAATAGGGGCACTCTATTGAAAGGCATTGTAATATGTAATATGTTATTTCCAGTATAATAGTAGTGAAAATTTAGTTTCTGCAAAATTCTTAGGAGTGTTCCCTCTTTTTTTTTATATTTTGTGCTGATGATGTTACTAAGTTCTGCTTGTAAAATATCGATATGAAAAATCCTTGCTCTTTGGACCTCTAACCTTTAAAAAAAAATTTCTTTTTAGTCTTCTTAAATTTTCCCTCATTAATCTGTAATTGACACCATCCACAATCACTTTTTTCTGTTGTGTTGTCATGGTAACAGATGCATCTCGAGCACTTCCAGAATTTGGAGAAGTTGAAATCTCTTCTCTGCCAGATGGTACTACCTTTGAGGATATCAAGTCACTGCAGAGTCTTTATCGAGAGCACTGTGAGGTAAGTCTTTTCAAACATAGTATGAACACTCCCTGAGTTTTGCCAGACAACTTGCTAAAACAAACTAATCAAGTTTATTCCTAGAGGACAGATGAAGTTAGCACTAATTCTTTTGAGCATTTCTTTTAGCACTAATGAATTCATTTTTCTTCTTTCTTGTCTCAGAGTGGAGAGATGAGGAATGCAGGAAAGTGAGAATAAATTTTATTCTCCATTTCTTAAGCCTATCCTAATATGAATCCTTTGATGCAGCAATTCCACTTCTAGGTATTTATCCTACAAAAATACTTATATATGGGTAATGAGACAAGTGTACAAGGGAATTTGTTGCATTATTCATTTTAATGCAAACTATTGGTTATAATTTTAATGTCCAATAGGGAACTGAATAAGTAAAATATGATGCAGTCTTTCAAGTGGAATACTATACAGCTATTTAAAAAATAGGTAACTCTAAATGTACTAAAAGGAATGAAGCCAGTATTTAATGTTAAAAGGACAGGCACAGTGCAGAAAAAGAGTGTATAACGTATTATCATCTGAGTGAAAATGAACATGTCTACACCTCTCTCTAGAAAGAAGAACACAAAAGATTAACTTGTGGTTGTCTTTGTGAAGTAAACTGGATTACTAGGAGTCAAGGGAAAGTGATTTAATTTTTCAATAAACTCTTTTTACCTTTTGAATTTTATACCATATAAATGTGAATTTCTATTAAAAATAATTTCTGGAAATGTTCAATAAATCATTTTAGGTGTTCCTTCCAGAAATCATTGAGGATCTAGTTTCATTTGTTTTGTTTCATTCTTTTGGTTAATTAAGGTTTCTTTTGGGGTTTTCTGTCCCCACACCTACTCTATGAGTATCCCACATCCAAATTGGCTTCATTGATTAGGAGGTGAACTCTCTCCATGCCAACATATTAATGTACCTGCAATTCACCTAGTAGGAAAGGGATAACAGATTACAATATGATTTTCTTAAGTGCTTCTCCTTTTGAAAGAGAATTCTATTTAGAATTTAAGTACCTTTATTCCAGGGGTATTTGTGACTTGCTTAGAAGTAAAAGATAATCCTTTGGATTCCCTGGGCAGTACTGCTGACTGCTGACAGTGCAGTATGCAGTAAGAAGTCTCAGTTCATAGAATTCACAGATTTTTTCCCCCCACTCCAGAAATAAGAATTGCTTGAGCAAATGTGAGTACTTGTCAAGGGTGCTAGATTACTAATAACCAAGGGCAAGTTCTCTCCTTATTAACATAGCAGGTACCAGAAGTGTTCTTCAACATGCTCTACCAGTTCCCAGCATTTCTTGGAATGATGAAAGCCACTTAGTATTCAGTTTCCTTAGAGTATTATACTTTTCCCAATATTAGAGAATTCCTGTATTATTCTTATATATATAGAAAAATTTTTTTCTTTCTATATCTATCATCTTATTCAATAAATATTAGTATAAAGATTCTCTAAACAATTTTGCATTTCTGTATGGTCAAGTGATCCTTGCTTTAAGCAAACCAACCTATACAAATATAATCTGGATTTTTTCTAAGTTTCTCATATTTATTCAAAATGTAAGTTGGAGCATGATTATTTACATTGCTAAGGCATATACTGTAAGATTATTTTAAGTGATAAGCACCCCTAATAAGATTAAAATCATCTTTTGGTTTATAAAATGTTCATTAATATACCAATTTTGAGGAATAAATATACTTTGTATGAAGAGAGAGGGACATCTATAGTAATTAATCTGTGTGGGAAATGACAGTCCATGGAATGATCTCCATTTTTTTCAGAGTTACCAGTGTTCATGCCATCTCTCTCATGGGACAGAGGAGGATATATAAAAAAGAAAAATTCTAATAATTTTTGTCTGTCAAACTTCTAAACTTTTGAAATATAACTGTCTGAATCTCATACCCAGTCCTGTAAATAGTCATTTGCCCTAAGCCAGGAGAATATGGGTTATTTTAATTTATACTTGTCTATATATTTTAGTCTGAACATATTTGAAAGTAGGTGGACAAATGATAAAATGTTTTATTCATTTGTAAAACTGCCTCAATGAGGCTGATGTGAATGTCTTTTTCAAAAGAGTTATCTGAGATTATTTACTTTGAAGAGATACTAAATTTAAGATACATTGAAATTCTTTACTTGCCCTACTTTATTTCACATTTCCTATAGTTTATATTTTTAAAGAGGTTAATAGACCTACTTTGCCTGTTATTTAGAATTCTCACAATTTGTTTGTCAAAGATTTTGTAAGTATTAATACCATTTTGTTACATATGGAACAAGTATATTTTTTATGCAAGTTGCTGATGTTAAAATGAGTGTTTTTAACATCATTTATTCCCTATATCACACATAAGTCCAGATTTACACGGGTGACATGAACTCTGAAATTATGAAGTTACGGTTTGCTCTTTTTGCCTAAAATACTCAGATAGATTCTCTAGATTGGCCTCTATTTTATCTTACCTTTCACCAGTTTTATAGATCTTGATGAGGCTGTTTCACATTTTACCTGTCTTGGTCCTCAATGCTGATGACATCAAACACATTATACTGACTACTTCTGTCTTTCAGCACTCAAAATAATCACAGAATTATGTGTTCTTTGCACAAACAAGTTATTCTTTGGTTTTATGCCTGCTTTTTTCTGAAGGCTAATTTACAAACTAATTGGAATGGCAGGGTGAAATTAAATATGATCATCAAAAGTTAATAGGGAAAGTGGTAGATTTTAGCATCATAAAAAAAATGCCTTTGATGAAGCTGGTAAAATGGCTCTAGAGATAAAATTAAGAAGAGAAAGGAAGTGAGGCCCCAATATTAGAAAAAGAGATCAGTTTTCAAGGTATCCTCTAAAGGAAGTGTGAAGTGATGGGATTAGATTCACTAATGTTGAATGAAAGGCATTGCTTGCTGTGCCCAGAGAGGCAGTATCCTCTCAAGGCCTGCTGACTCCATAGTTTCTGCTGCAGCTTCTGCCTGGCTGGGAACACCCTGGAGCCCATGGTCAGCAGCCGCAGACAGAGCTTATTCAGCCCTAACTTCCTCTGCCACACATAAGTACCTCCAGACCCTTCACTTCTCTCCCCTTGATTGCCAATAACTTTACCTACCCCAGAGAGGACTAATGTAAATTGAATTTGTGTTCTGTACCCTTCAGGGTCTGAGAATAGGTAGAGTGGCAACAACTATGTAGACAGAAGGCAGCAGTAGTAGGTAAAGGAATGAAAGAAAAGTAAGAAAAAAAATGAAGAAGAAGGAAAGCAAGCATGAAAATGGAAGAGAAAAAAGAGGTAAAATTGAAGATGAGATTGGGATATGAGGCCATTATAGAGGAATGTGTTATCCTGCTTAATCTTTCAAGAGGTTTTTTTTTTTTTTCTTCTATTTTTTTTTTCGAAGCTAATTTCTTTGAATTTTGATTCTTCCACTTCCATTGATAAAATTTAGTTCAGTTTCACCATGTCAGCTTATGGGCCCAAGAGAGCTCTTTACCATATAAAATCTCATCATATTAGGTTCTCCTAACAAATCCCCACAAGTAATATTGTGAGGTAATGCTGATACCATTTTGTTTTTTAGGCAATACTGGATGTTGTGGTGAATCTTCAATTTAGCCTGATAGAAAAATTGTGGCAAACATTCTGGCGCTATTCTCCCTCTACTCCAACTGATGGCACTACCATTACTGAATCAAGGTCAGAATCCATATGCTTTTCCAATTCTTTTTCATGGCTGAGTAGATGTCACAGCTAATAAATTAGAGATATGTATACCAGTTGTGAACCTTACCTGATGACATTAAGTAACTAGATTGATGCTTTGGCCATCCTGGAAATAAACCACAAACTGCTCTCTTGAAGTTTCAGTGTGTTTATATAGCTCCCATTTTTATTGATTTGGGGACTGTGGTAGAGTTATTTCGTCCTCATGGAATTATTATCGTATCTGCCTTTCATGCCGTCAAAAAATATTAATGTGCATAGGAAGCTCTGGGGGAGTGTTTTATGTATCTATCTATCTATATATATATATATATCTCCAGCCATGGGGCACCAGTGCAATGGTGGTATAGTTCTAACCTCAATAATATTTGGTAAATTTAAACTATTTTTAAAGTCCATTTTCTTTTTTATCCTCATTTGCCATCTATTCATTTGCTACATTTATTCACACCAGCAATCTGAGTGAAATAGAAAGTCGACTTCCGAAAGCAAAGCTGATAACTCTGTGCAAACATGAGTCTATCCTGAAATGGATGTGTAACTGTGACCATGGGATGTACCAGGCTTTGGTGGAGATTCTCATCCCCGACGTCCTTAGACCTATTCCTAGTAAGTTAAATGCAGACAAGTACGGATGCTTTTGTTCTCATACATTCCACCCAGGAAGTTTTGGGAAGTGACACTGCAATCTAGAATTATTCTAATTTCATTTAGATTTGCCAAACAGAAAGCACGCAACACGGACTATTGCATGAAAGCAGCTTAGAACAAAACTGTAGTAAAAAGGGAAAAAATGATCTGTTTTCCAATCTCTCATTTTCTTTTTGATAAAAGAAAGCCAACCTGTAGATGTGACAGCCCTAATAAACTAATTGCAAGAACACTCCCAGGCCAGTCAGCCATATAAAATTTATTCTGCCCAAGGACACAGTCCCCTTCATAAACCCAAAAATTACTGAAATCTGTAATTGCTAGACCAGCCTCTTTTGTGGTTGCTTTTGATTTGAAATGAATTTATCTTGATTTCCAGCGAAGTTGAATTCCTTTATAAAAGCACTTATTTTGTCACCTACATCATGTTAAGAACTACAAATGCAGTTTCCATTAACAGTAATGGTTAACTGGCATTTTGAGAGAAAAATCTGTGTAACTACATGAGCATTGTAATCCCACTATGAAGAAAATGAGCATTACATAGATAGGGTTAGATTACCTTTTTAAGTGATGATGCTTTTTTAAACTACTTTGTAGCAAACAAAGCTATTATCTTCAAATGTCAATATAAATGCTATTACAGATACTGTTAGAGGCAGTTGAAACTATTTTATGCCTACATCTATATGAGCACATACTAGTGACCTTAACTTTTAAAGAAACAGAACAGTTTCTACTCTACACAGACATTAATAAACTAAAAGCAATCATGTAGCTTGTGAAATTGGCAACCATGTACTTCAAGTACAATGCTCACAAATGATTTGTGTTAAATGACTCTAGAAAATATAAAAATAAGAATTTTGTAGAAGAAAAGGTGACAATGTTAACATTTGTATGTTTATACTTTCTTTTTTTCTAAATACAATAGATAACTGTGGATGGTATGAGTTCTTTAATATGTTCTCTACCACCTTAAATAGATGCTTAAATGTATTTATATATCAATGAACACACATAAATTTATATAGGAATAAGTTTTAAAAATCTAGCTGAAATTGTGTCACAATTTTATACATTGATAATATGTTCCACTATATCTGTACCAAGTTTCCTGACTAAAGATTGATTAAAAGTGATGTTGTCATGGAAAATTTCACTGTGTAAATTCTCTACGGATTTATGTTCTGGAATCTGGTTTTCCTTGTTTTTCTCTTGCTCCCTGTGCTCTGAATGATAATCTCCAGAGATGTTTAAAACAACTTGCATAGGGAAGCTCATTAGCCCATGACATCTTGCCACCAACATACAATTTCTCTGATGAGATTTAAGAAGGGATGTCAGTGGGTGCTTTCTTTTTTGAGACATATTAACAACATCAATATTCATTAAATAATTCTAAAATATTTTGCTTCTGTAGCAGCATCATAAGATTTTAACCTGTGAACTTAACAGTTCCCTAATTTAAATCTTGTATGAATTTTAGTTGACTTTAAGCCACACAATTTTAAGTACACAATACACTTGACCTTTGTCTTTTGTAAATTTTGATTTGAAAACCAGCGTATTCTGTCAAGTAGCTTGTCTCTACATTCAGCAAAACAGTTTTATAGTTTCTCTTAAATTACAAGGTATATTAATGTACTACTCTGCGAAAGAAATTTGGAAATTTAATTCCCATTCTACAATGAGGCTTAACAAAATAAAGCTTAAAATACAATTTAGATAGCTATCTTCTGGTTGTATGCATTTTAATATTAATCTTGAGCAGGTTGAGACAAGTCAGCTTTGGAATAGATTTTAAATTCCAAACTATTCATTCATGAGCATTTGAAAGTTGTCAGAGTCAATCTGCACGATTTTATACTTACATGAATCCCTATAGAGAGAGCAAACTTAATTTTATTTTTAAAAATTGTATTTTCCTCGCTACTAGTACTTCACTCTACCATTTTCTGTCCAGATGGGATTTCTTTTTTTAGCTTAAAAAAAAAGTCTGCATATCACACTAATTTAAAGTCAGCTTGAAGCTACTATATTCTAAAATACATTTATCTGAAAATGCAAAAAACATTAATTGTAAAGTATTGTTTAAGAACTCAACGGGTCACACTTAAATGTACAATTATGACTATAATTAAAGGCCCAAATTGTCATTTAATGCAAAAATGTAAAACTCACAATTATTTAATATAAAAAATACATCTTTTCATTTTATAATCTCCCTGGCATCAAGATAAAACAAGGCCCATAATAAATTTTTTAAAAATAACATTATAGGTTCTTGTGATTTTTCAGATTAAACAATTATTGTATATTAATTATAGGGATAATGGAAACTACAGATTGCCAAATTGAATCTTGAACAAAATTTTACTGTTTCAAAAAGTATTGTTAATTTTTTTCACTCTTTTTCATTTCCATTCATGCCTGTCCTCCATGGTTCTAGTACATAATACAATAGAAAAATATTTTTCTTTCCTTTTTTCTTTTTTGGATAAAGTGGGAAGCTTTAGAGATTTCAAAAGATTAGTTCTCAAGAAATTTCCTATTCAGTGTTTCCAGTAGATGAATCTCGTGGTTGAGTGCACACTTTCTTGAGTGTTAGTCCTTTCCAATCTCTTCTGTCCTGTTTTGGCCAGTTAAACAAATCTTTAAAAAAAACAAAAAACAGGAAAAAAAACTTTGGATTTTTTTTATTATTAGAATAGTAAAATTTATATCTTTTGCAAATACCTCAAATAAATTAAATTCTACAACCTGCTTTTAACAAAAGTAATAGAGAAACATGTCAGACTCATTTGAGCACACAAAGAAAACCAAGGAATTTAATCCCATGATAACATTAATATTCTTGGGAGCCTTGGATAAAACTGTAACTTCTCTGTTTCTAATAGTAAACTATATATTTTGATGCTTACCACATTATAGAGAACCTGCACAGACTAATTTTATGTTGTAGGTATTTGAAACATTTATCTATTAAATATCTAAAACTGCTCTCTACAGAGCCTTGGGCACAGAGGAAGTAAAATACTATTGACTGAATTACTTGTCGAACAAGAATAATTTTATCTCCTAATATATAGCTATCTCAGTAAGCAGATCTCTTCTTATATAATAGTCATAGTCATCACTGATAACTGAAGATGCTTCTAATCATTTAATGACCACCATAAAATCTTCTGTCATGGGACCCATCCCTATTTCAAGTTTCAACAAATATATAAAGAATACAGAATGTGCTATTTTAGAAATATCTTAGGAATATTGGTTTCTGTGACAGCAATTTTATCACACTGATCTTTTATCTCTACCTGCCAAGTGAAATGAAAATAGTTATCCAGAATTTTAAAGTCAGACAATTTTAATTTTTACCTTACTTTTCAACAAGAATGAGAAATAACTACTCCAATTCATCGGTTCTCAGTAAATAGATGCATAGAGAAAGAGAAAAAGCTTTGCATTACTTTTCTTTTTTAACTAAAGAAATGAAATAGGTTAAGAGCTTGAAAAAATTAAAATGAAGAATTTATAAAGAAAACATATAGCCTTTTATCAGAAAACTGTTAATGAAAAGAAAGTTTTGTCCAAGATAGAAAATTCCATAACTATATTCACAACTGGTATATGTTGCTATAAGCAAAAATGTTTGTATGTTTTTGTTTCCCAACATAATATTATAAGTATCTGGGGAAAAATAACTTTAAAAGAAAAACCCAAAATAGTAATTCTGGAATGCTTTAAAAAGTAAGAAATAATGTTAAATGAAGTTTCCTCAATGAAGACAATATGAATTTTGTGCTATATCAGATGTTGTGTACACATATTCTGGCATAAAGATTAATGTTCTTTGGTGTCTTTTTCCTTCTGCTTTTGTTCTTTAACATTTAGGTGCCTTGACCCAAGCCATTCGAAATTTTGCAAAAAGCCTTGAAGGTTGGCTTTCCAATGCCATGAACAATATTCCACAGAGAATGATACAAACCAAGGTATATTTTATGTCTTTGCTTTTTCTTTTGTGTTTAAGAAATTATTCTGAGCTATATGAACTTTATGTCCTATCAAATGATATCATGTACAGTGTTAATGTTATAATGTATAGAATCTTTTAAAACTGATTTTTATATTTTATAACCATGTAATAAAGAACTTACATAAGAGGTGTTTGATGATATTCCTTTCAAAGGGAACTGAGAAACATTTTAAGTGTGGTGCATTTCCAAGCCCTTTTCTAAACAATATGTCAGATATATATATACACATATTCTAAACTATGTATCAGAAGCATATAAACTATATGTGCTTAATTTCAAATATTAAAAAGAATAGCCTGGGCCCTAGGATGTTAAAATAGTTCCCATTTGAAGGAATTTTAGATTTTTAAAATTTCCTACTATACTTATTGTATTCTGAAAAGTTCATGTAAATTAATGTTCCTTTGCTTTTTCTGGACGTTTTGTTTTTCAACATTGGTGAATGTTTTTGTGAATCAAGTAATCATTTCTTCAAGAGAACAGTTATCCCATAATAGATCAGTGTGTCTCAGGAATGTGGATTATTTAGCTAGTATGTGAATTCTAGTCTCCACTTTGTCCACTACTAGCCATGTCACTTTATGCTAATCTATGAACATATCCCGTGCATGGCAAGATTGGACTGATTCTAAATTTTGGTGCCAAAAATCACAATCGTGGCTTTTTGTCAGTGACTGTATTTACTATCAGACTCTAACAATATGCCTTCTCTTTCAATTTGGGGGAAAAGTTGATAGATTGACATTCTTATAACTGATAAGTTTCTGTGGGAACACAAGTAGCTCCCAGCTCTTTCTGCTTTGGCTTAGAGTTTACAGTAAAACTTCCTCTCTCTAAAAGATATAGAAGGCAATAGTTTATTAATAGGCCCACCTTAGATTGCTGCTCTAGAGCTATGCTATCAGTGCAATAGGGCTAGCCACATGTGGCTCTCTACATTTGACTTTTAAATTAAAATTAAGTGAAGTGAAAAATTTAGCTCCTACTCACACTAGCTACATTTCAGTGCTCAATAGCCCCATGTGGCTAGTGCCTACCATATTGGATAGCACATATGCAGTGCCTTTCCATTATCACAGAAAGTTCTTTTTGGCAGTGCTGTGTTGAGTACCACATTGAGGTGGTCAAAAAAGAGGTGCTATTTGATTATGATAGAGGAATTTTTTCCAACTTGCAAACTTGCAACTTGCAATCACGTTTGTACAATACCTCAAACAGCTAAGAGTGCTTCCCTTACCAGTGTCATCAAAGTGAACAGTTTAGTGGTTTAGCTGCAACATTAACCATCTCATGGACCTGCAGGGTTGATTTGGATGATTTACAGTGGTGGAGGGTACCTTCTGCTCTTCCACTTTCACTGATAATGCAGCCATTTTTCCACTGAGTGCTCAATGAATTAAGGCAATTTACCCTGATAGAGGAAACAGCATTCCAGCCACGATAAATGTTGGAATCAGAATGGCTTGGGTTCAGATCCCACCACTGTAATTGAGTTTCTGTGCAACCTTGAGCAAACTACTTAACCTGTTTAAATCATAATACATATCTGACAGATGGTTATGAGAATTGAACAAGATAATAATACCACATAGTATGTACTAGATTAATATAAACCACAAAATTTGAAAAAGGATGACTCATTTTTGAGGGTATGTGAGCTTCCTCCCAACTTCTACATAGCCCTAAAACATCTAACTATCAAGATAGAGCATCCTTTACCCTGAGAATACTCTCTACCATTCAGCCAACGATTGTTCAACCACTTGCTATTTATATACCCAGAGTAATTTAATGCAATACCTTATATTCTATAAATATGTTAAAATTTTTAACATTTTTTAAAGGTTAGAATCATTAGATCTACTGTGCATGTAACCAATTTCCATGAGATCATGAGCTTTATCTAGACTTTTTTGGCATTATCTTTGATGTCTTTCAATGCAAACTGGTTCATTCACGGTTCCAACAGGAAACAAGTGGTGCATCCAAAGGGAGGAGGAGGAATAATTGATGAGAACTTAAGAAGAGTTTATTTCCAAATGTATGAATGAATTTGAGAAAACCAAGGATGAATGGTAGAGTACTCCAAGGCTCGCAATAGTCCTAACCATCGCTAGGTCTGAAGGATTGGGGGTGAAATCTACGTCATAAGGAGATCCCGTTTTTTCCTAAGGACTGTAGTGGCCTTAAAAAAGGAAAGTAGGCTATTCTCAAACAGGAAAGCAGAGGCTGTAGGGAATAAACACTCTAACCATCTAGCCATTCTTCCCAGCCTTCAGTCTCCTACCTGTGTCTGTCACTGGTCAAACCCAGTTGAAAGCCAGAAGATAAGGAAGGAGGTTATTGTATTCCATTCAAGTTAGTCTTCCTGGGCACAGAGCAGGATGGAGAAGAATAGAAAGTAGATTTTGAGATGCAAATGGAGATTTCCTGGATAGCCTTTTTAAAAAAATTTAAACGCTTAAAAAGTATTATTTTAGTTGTTTGCCTCTGAGAAGTTTATTACCTATATATTGGCTAATAAAGGTTATGAACTCTCTAACCTTGAAATTATGCAAGATTTTATAAAATAAAGGTAATAAGAGAAAATCTGAATGGTAGTTCTCTGAAATGTATTTTTTTAGTACAATTTAAAAAGAAAGGATGTACAGTTTGTTTTTTTAAATAAAAAGAATTTTTTTAATCTACCTACTTTCTAGTTGACTATCCTAAAAAAACAGCAAAAAAGGAATGAAAACCAACATTTTTTCTACTTCCATAGACAAAGTCATTTCTTGCTGTGGGTGAGTAGTTATTTGCAAGACTGGTTTAATTAATGCTGCACTCAGATGTGAAAGAATGTGGGAGTTTGTTTTTGTCTTGACCTCAACCTACTCAAAAGGAAAATAATACTTGGCTTAGAGATTTAGATGCTTTAATTTACAAGTAAACTATCTCACCAAATGAATTTGAAATAAGTGTCAGAGGAAAGCATTTAAAATTTGGCAAGGAAAAAAAGATCTGAAGATTTCAGAGGCTTTTCTTACTGGAGAAAAAAGGAATCCAACTTAATTGGATTTCTTTACAGGTTGCCGCTGTAAGTGCCTTTGCCCAGACTCTGCGAAGATACACATCGCTCAATCACCTGGCCCAGGCAGCTCGTGCAGTGCTTCAGAACACTTCCCAAATCAACCAGATGCTCAATGACCTCAACCGTGTCGATTTTGCCAATGTCCAGGTACTCTGTTTTCTTGCAAAACATGTCTTTTAAGGAAAGATTCTCAATTTGTTCTTCTTAATTAGTATCATCAAATTTCTTTTTGAAGTCTCATCTGTACACAGATAGCATCTATATTCACTAAATTCTGAAAGAGAGGAGTTTTATTCACATGTGACTTTATTGCTCCAGTATTTTGTGATTTAAGTCTGCTAAAATTAATAGTCCTAGAATGCAACATAATATGTTACCAGGGTTTGCTGAATAGTTAATGGAGTGATGAAGATCATAGTCATTGAAGTTAGGCAAGAAATTAAACTCTTCCATCTACCAGCTGTGGGATCTTAAGCAAGTTACTTAACTACTCTGGGATTTTACTTTTCACACCTTATAACACCTATCTTAGATGATTGTTTACATATTTAGTAATTTTTTACCATGATATGCAGACATATTTCTGTTAGTATAGCTTCAAAGAACTAAGAATAACTCTATTTTAACAGTTCACCATAGGTGCCTACTAAATATTTGTTCACTTGGAAAGAATTACATGCTATAAGCTTGGCTATTTTGATAGTTTAAATGGAAAAAGTATTTTTTTACCTTATGATGAGACTATTCATCTGTACTGTAAAGTACACTTTAAAAAATGCTAAGTTAGAAATATTATTATAGGATTTCAACAAATATTTTATTTCTGATACTGGAGTAAAAAGTGATGATGCTAATCATTACCACATAAAAATAATACTATTGCTCACCAAAAGCATAAGCAACAAAAGAAAAAAATACATAAACTGAACATAATCAAAATTTAAAACATTTGGGTTTCAAAAGAGACCATGAAGAAAGTGAAATGAGGCTGTATGTGATAGCTCACTCTTATAATTTCAGCACTTTGGGAGGCTAAGGCAGGAGGATGGCTTGAGCCCATGAGCTCAAAACCAGCCTGGGCAACATAGTAAGACCCAGGCAAAATATCTACAAAAATGAAAAAAATCATTAGCCAGGTAGAGTATGCGCACCTATAATCCTGGCTACTGGGGAGAATCTAAGGCAGGAGGATTTTTTGAGCCCAGGAGTTCGAGGCTACAGTGAGCTATTATTGTACCACTGCACTCCAGCCTACGCAAGAGAGTGAGACAAACTGTCTCAGGTTTACAAAACCATTTACTTTACATATTTTAATGGAATTTACATTAACTGATTCAGTGAGAATATTAAAAGTTCATATAGCCCTAAATCCAGACAGTAATGTTTATTTCAAATCTTCTTTCAGAAAAGATATGTTTTAAAATACCTTAAGAAAAGTTGAAGTAGTAAGGCAACTTCTAGTTGCACAAAGTAATTTCAGCCCATTAACAGGAAGTATTTTTAAGAATGGTTTCTAATAACATCTGAGAAAGGTTTTAAATGTTCTTTTAGCATTATTTTCATATGTGTATTTGTGTGTTTGCAATCCTATGAAATATTTATACAAATGAGTCTTTCCCTGGTTATAAACGCTAACCTTGAGAACATCTTTGCATATAAATGGTCAATTATATATCTACTTTACTACTACTTATCCTCCACCCACCAACTTCGAGACTACCCTTTATCTTCCTCTATTTCCAACTATCAAGTTTTTCTGTGTCCACCATGACAGTCATTAATGCTGAACGGGTATGATTAAACATCTGCCCTCCAACACCTCCTTCCTTTCTTCAGAGGACCATGAACACAGTGACGAGCCCTTCATTTCCATGTACATTTTACTTCTCACTGTTCTGTTTATTATAATGAGTAATCTCTTTTTCGAGGTAGCATATTTCATCTTTAACTCCCTTGTTTCTTTCCTTTTATTTTCCAAGCTTTACCAGGTTTTCCGAGAGTCCCCTGCTTCCCATTCCACCTTTATCACCCACTCTTGTTCATTTTGGGGTTGTCCCTGCCCCTGTAAGATTCAGCTCAGTAAGGCTGACAAATTTAAGGGTGATGCTCTGGTAGTAAGGTAACTTCAGTTAAAAACAATTAAATTACATGTGTCAATATTACAATACCATAAAAGCTTGAAAGTACTAAAAAGTTCCTTTCAGGATATCCATAAATCTCTTTTTCCTACTTTATTCTCCTCTAATTAAATCTTCTTTTCCTTGTGCATTCAAGATAATTTTTCTATTGCAGTATAATCAGTTTTCTGTTTCATTTAATTAATAGTATTAAAATGGTATTGCTCTCTAATTTTTAATATAAATGGATGGAGGTTTTTTTCTATTAGGTCATTAAATATGAAATGTCCGATTTTGAATCAAAAGTTTAGTTTATTGTATCTCAAACAAGAAGCAGTACAGTTAATCAAAGTATGCGCCTAACTATTGACACAGTTTTGCCATCTTAACAGTAGCTTGTTTATGCCAGCAGCAAAGAAGCCTGGAGAGCGAGTGGTGATAAAATCACAAAAGGTGTTTTCCACAACTTGTTGAGAATTGAATATTTTTCCTTGCAAGAAGTGGTTGAAAGCCTGGAAGAAGTGTTAGTCAGTTGGTGCAAGGTCTGGTGAATACAGTGGTTGACAGAAAGTTTTCAAGTCCAGGCTCTGTAGTTTAAGCAGCATTGGTTTTTGTGACATGTGGTCTTGCAAAAGGATTAGCCTATCTCTGTTGATGAATCTCAGCTGCTTAATCACAAGCATCCTCATCATTTTGACCAATTGAGTGCAGTAGACATCCACTGTAATCAATTGACCAGGTTTCATGACACTGTAGTAGATAGTTAATACCAGCAATAGACCACCAAACAGACACCATTAGATTTTTTTGGACTGGAATATTTGGAATTGGAATATTTGGAATATTGGAATTTGGAATTTTGGAATATTTGGTTTTGGACTGTGTTTTGGCACTTCATCTTTATCCAACCATTGTACTGAATGCTTGCAATTGTCAAAAAGAATCTATTTTTCATCACATATAGCAATACAGTGTAGAAATAATTCGCCTTTATGTTGTGACACCAAAGAAAAGCAAGCTTCAAGACAATTTCTCTTCTGATGCTCATTTAATTCATGTGGTATACATCTATCCAGCTTCACTACCTTGCCAATTGGTTCCAAATGGTCCAATATTGTTGGAATAATAATGTCAAACCTGGCTGCTAATTCAATCATAGATTGAGATGGATTTGCTTCCACTACAGCTTTCAGCTCATCATTAACCACCTTGGTCTCTGGTCACCCATATGGCTCACTTTCAAAATTGAAATCACCATAATGAAACTTCTCAAACCATCGACGTACTGTGCATTCATTAGTCACATCCTTCCCAAACACATTGATGATATTTCAAACTATCTGTGCTGCATTGGTTCCATGATGGAACTCATATTTAAAAATAACATGAATTTTTGACATATCCATGGTTTCACAAAAATTGCTCTAAAAAAATAGGAAAGATAATTACAAACCAAAATGTGCATTTGAAAGACTGAGGATATACCTTCACAATGGGGGGAAAAAAGCAAGAAGTATCAAAATGAAATTCAGAGAGATCATCTGTCAAACTCAGTATTTAAGGAAATCAGACGTTTCATACTTAATAACCTAATACATTATGGGCTAATTAGATTTGGGTGGGCTGACTTGATAACCTAATTATTACATATATTTTTGTTTCTGTATTTAAAAGCCATTCTGATTTTGACATTCCTGACTACTTGTCATTTTGGATATAATTTTTTTACACTCTAAGAACATCTTTAAATGTTCATCCTTAGCTTTTTAAATTATAGAATTGAAATATCTGAATTCCTTTCACAAGGGAATATTTACAGGTATTCTATTGCTAGTATATTTTCACTCTAGAGAGTAGTAAGATAAAGTATAATAAAAAGTAGTTTGAAAAGACAAAAAAAACATGCTGTGGTTTTATTTCTCAAAGTTAGGTTTTAGATCAGATCATCTTCTTTTGATCAAACTGCCAAGTAAATAATGAGGTTGAATTTATGCTAAGAAATGAAATTAAATTCTTCCACAGATACTAATAAGTTCCTCCTTCCCATTATCAATACACAAACAACAACAATAAAACTTTCCTAAAATGGGCATAAAGTTTCAGTTTTGCAAGATAAAAAAGTACATATATTAACAGTTAACACTACTGTACACTTAAAAATAGTTAAGATAGTGTTACGGGTTTTTATGATAGTAAAATAATGCTTACTCTAATGAGTGAACAAATCAAAACACAACTCTGTTACTTTCTTGATGTTTAAAATTCTTTCTTGGGTACTCTCATAGACTCATTTTTTCAGTTGACAAATAATAAATGTATGTATTTATGGGGTACAGAGTAATGTTTCAATATATGTAAACATTGTGGAATGATGAAATGAGGGGAATTCGAACATCATCACCTCAAATATTTACCATTTCCTTGTGGTGAGAACATTTAAAACTATCTTGGAGCTCTTTTGAAATATAAATTGCTATAAAATTTCTGGGAGTCATTTGACAGTATATAAGATCTTAGCTATTCTTATGTAAATCTTCATACTGAAATAAGTAAAAAAGTAAGCAAAGATATAATACACAAGATTGCTAATTCCAGCTTTACTCATAATAGTGAAATGTTAGAACAAACAAATGTTTAACTGTATGGGATTGGTTATATAAATAATGATATATTCATGTGATGAAACAAATTCATTCATTGAGCAACAAATATAGCGCCACATTTGCCTACATGGAAAAATAGTTATCCTATACAGTTAAGTAGAACTAAATAGAATATCTCTTAGAATGTATAATATGATCCTCTTTTATTTTAAACATTTATATGTGAATAAGCATATAATAATACATAAATATTATAAAATGTTTGTATAAGTAGGAATAATTGTATTATCAATATATTCATAAATAATACAGTATGTTATAACATATACATACTGTTATACTGATATAACATGTGCATAAGTCTATATATATGCATGTGAAAAGCTTAAAGATTATATATATCATTGTGTTATTGTTATCTCAGTGTTGCTGTTTTAGGTATTTTTAATATTTTGTTTCTTGTTGCTTATTTGTATGTTCAGGTTTTTTTATAATCACATTTTAGTGTACTTAAAATATTTAAAAGTAATATTTAGGAGGTAACATCTGAAACATCTTATCTTATTAATTAGATAAGAGAAAGAAGGATAGCGGATGGTATCATCAGCTGAGATTAGAAGAAACAGTAGGTTTCCCTGGGAAAATAAAATGAATTGAGTTTAGAATATTTTGCATTTGAAGTACCTCAAGGTTGAAATGTCCCTTGAATGGGTAAAATCTATAGGATCAGCAGAGATGGTACAACTTAGAGGATTAGGTATTTATTCAGCTAAAATTGTCAATTTGAATGAACTTGTCCTCTGAGAACACATGGAATAAAAGTTACAGATACTCTTCAGAAGAATATATATATATTCACAAGATTTTATATGAATTAGGACCTTCATAGACACCCTTCCAAAGAAGCCCCATCTTGAAAAAATTATCTGGATACAGTGAGCTTCACTTAAAAATTTCTGTTAAATTTTATTGTTTTAATATTAACTGAGGACTTCATTTAAAATCCATGTCATCTGACCTAGCCAAATATTGTATTACCAAATAATTTTTACCTTGAGAGAAAAGTGTTTTTCTTAATCTTACAACATAGCACTGGAAACATCATAAAACTTATGCCAACCACTGAAAAAATCGCCATAGAAGTTTCTATTTTCATTGTCATTACCAAACATGAAACTTCCCAACCAGAACCAGAAGGGAAATTGCAGTAATCAAATTTTTTGGCAAGAAACATGTCTACATTTCTCAAGAGTTTTTGTTGTTGTTGTTATTGTTGTTTTCAGTCCTCCGAATTAATTTGCATTCATAGTCTTGCCTTGATAGCCCTTGGGATTTTTATTCCCAATCCATAAAACCCATAACAGCATATGCTTCTACCTAGTACCATTCAGTGTTTGTTTCAGTTTTAATCTTGAGGGACCACTTTTGGGCAAGTGAATGTTTTTATCCATCTGACTTACCCTAAATCTTCTCAAATGAATTGTCTTTAATGTTTTATCTGATGGGGCAGGGGTAGAGAGAATTTTGAAGGCAGTAGTAAAACTGAATAGAATGAAAGACACTGCCTGTAGGTTCAGTCTTCTATTTTTAAGTAATCATGTATTTTAGTTTTTCACACAAGCAGGCTAGCTAATGTAAAAAAACCAGGTTATATATCACATCATTTTTTCATGTACCAAAGTGAGCAAGCAAGGAGAAATATTAATCCCCTAAAACTGAAAAAGGTGCTATTAGTTTCCTTAACAACTGATAAGTAGTTGTTCATTTTCTTGATTCACTATATTAAGCTTTTATTATAATTTCCCATTCTTACATCTGGTCTGTGTACGACATTCCATGAAAAAAATGCTGAGTTGAACTTTTCCTTTGCGTTGGGTGTACTGTCCCAGGAGCAGGCTTCCTGGGTGTGCCAGTGTGATGACAACATGGTTCAGAGACTAGAAACAGACTTCAAGATGACTCTTCAGCAGCAGAGCACCCTGGAGCAGTGGGCCGCATGGCTTGACAACGTCATGATGCAAGCACTGAAACCCTATGAAGGAAGACCCAGTTTTCCTAAAGCTGCCAGGCAATTTCTGCTAAAATGGTCTTTCTACAGGTATCATCTTAATTTTTCTTAAGCTTTCTTCTTCATATTCTGCAAGTATGTGTGTGTGTGTGTGTGTGTGCACGCTCGTGCTTCTCAGACAAAAGAAATGAGTAAAGACTTCAGTTTGTGGAAACTCCCTGTTGTAACTATCTTCAACCCAACTCAATGATTACAACATCATGGAAATGTACCAGGAGATTTCGGGAAATAAACTTTCTTCTAGGAAAAGAATGCCTCTTGTTCAAAGCCCTAGATATTCTCAGATAGGAACATCTGAGGTTCCAGTTTAGATAATGTGTTCAGCAACAATTGAAACAGGGCTACAGTCCTCCTTCCTCCCTCTTGCAATATACATTATTTAGGCTTTTTTCTTGAGGCCTTAACACTACTCTTCTTTTTGTTCTCTAGTTCAGTGATTTTCAAACTATGGTCCCTAGACCAGTGGTATCACTATCAATTGGATGAAAACATGTTAGAAATGCAAATTCTTAGGCCCCACCCCAAATCTCCCTGAATCAGAGCCTATGGAGGTATAAGGCCCAGCAATTTGTATTTTAAAAAGTGCTCCAGGTGATTCTGATGCATGCTCAGAATCATCTGGTTAATTTCTTGATTTTATAAATTAAAATTGTTTTCAAACCTGGCTACCAGATTTTAATGTTAAAAAAAAATCCTAGGTGCCCCCCAAGATCTATGAAATCAAAATCTTGGTGGTCAAGAAGTAGTGATTAGGAATATGGGTAACTGGGATTTTTATTTCTTTCAAAAAGCTCTCCTGGTGATTCTAATGCACAGCCAGTAATCTAGTAGACAGTAACATTCCTTATTAATAATATGAATCACTTTTTGACTAAAATAATATAGGTAGAAATATGGAAATATATGTTTTTGTAGATATAGAAGCACCCAGAGGGTAAAGGTTTTCTGATTACATGACATCTGATATCAAATGTTGGGATGAGCTGTTGACCGTAGCTCTGCCACAAGAGTTAAAAACAGCATTCATGAGGTCAGCAGTTATACTATGTATGCATAAGATAGAATTGGTAATGGACTTCTATTTTATAAGTTAGATAAGTTATATTTTTAACTCTGGTGTTTGTTCTTTGTGGTGAGAGTTCTTTTTTTTTTTTTGCTTCTTTAGATAAAGGTGGCCCCCACTGACTTAGGCCTAAAAGCCATATCTGCTTTGAAGTATAGGCAGTCTCTAATTTAGATTTTTTGCAGCCATGCATATATCAGAAAGTACTGACCACACGACAGCCCCTGACCCCTGGCTGTGGGTACACTATGGTCATCATCTGGATATCAGTGGTGAGTCCAAAACTTAGTTGTGAGGAGGAAAGCTATATGAATAAATAACAGAATTTAGGAATTAGTAGTACTTGTGAACCCAGACTACAGGATTTCCATCTTGTTTTGACCACCAATTAATTATGATGGTAGTTGCTTTGGTTTTTATTATAAGTGACTTTTTTCTTTTTTCCTTCTCAATCGACTAGTCTAATTCTTATTTCTTAAACTGAAGTAGAGGTGTAAATCCACTATATATTTAATTAAGAGTTGAAAGTATTCTTACATTTTAAAAATACCTTTCTAGTATCTAGCCTAGTGTCCAGTGCAGTGAAAGAAAACTAGCCAGTTTTTGCTGTTGTTTTGTTTTCATAGTAGCATAATTCTATACAATGCCTCTCATATATTTAATACCTTTTCACATGATTTGAGAAACACATTGTTAAGGTGTTGTCTGACTCTGGGACCCACTGGTATGCTCTAGTGAAGCCAGTGCTAGGTTTGATCTGGGTGTTAATAAGAAATATATTGATAAGAATTTTAAGTTTCCCTTGATTTTAGGGGAAGACTTGAAAAGCATTGTCACAGTGTTCTCAAAATAGAAGCAACAACATTAGTAGTAATGGTGGAATTCAAAATTTTAATTTGGGGACATTAAGATTTCAGATATTTTCCCAATTGTTTGAGTTAATTTTTTATTCATCAGTTTTTTTCCCAGAAAATAATATAAATAGTATATGTGCTCCATGAGTGATTGATGCCATGAGTGATTGATGAAATGGTAGTAACACTGGCTTTCTATTCCAAAATTTTATGATCAAAGGCAGAGTCAGAAAAGGCAAGATTTTTTTTTCCTTTTCCTTCCTCCTGTTTTCTTATGTTGTTAGTATCAGACTTGGCCTTCCTCTTTCCTGTGGGATTTTTCTTTCCTATATTTAGTTGATATCATTTTAGAAGTACACCCCTGGAGCCTTCATCTCCACAGAGATCTGTTGCAGGTATCTTGAAAGGAGAGAAAATTACTTACTTGTATTTCTTGTTCTCTGCACATACGCAAACCCAGTGGCTCATCACTTGCCTGCCCTCTGTCCTCCCTGAGTTGGGGATAATTGGCTTGTTATTATTAGACACTATTATGGTTATTATTTTCATTTCAAAAAGACTTGAAGGCGTACAGTTCAGGGCCCCAGAAGGAAAGGCACATTCAGACAGATGCATACCTCCTGCTGGTAGGCAAAGTCAATAGCTTAGAAACTTAAGGGCCTTTAATATCTGAACTATTTTTTACTGAGACATAAAAACATATTGAATAATGAAAACTATACTCACAAACTATCAAAGAAGCAGAAATAGAGTATTTTTAAACATGTTTTTGGCATTGCAAATGCCCAAAATTTGTAAACTCATAAATGCCATTGTAAATTTGGCAATCATGTACACAGACCCTTCATGTTCTGAAATCAGATACTTAATCTCATAATTTCTAAAATTCTGTGCATATATTTACATGCATAAAAATATAGAAATGAACTGGCAGAGAATCAAGATAGCAGCCGTTGATATATTGCTGCAAACATGCTCTGCTACAAATGGGGGTCTCTCCTTGCCTAAGCTGGCTTTGAATGACTAATGGTGGCTCCCTAGGAGGCAGGAAAAAAACTACCGCCTTTCTTGGGCAGAAATGGAAAAGTTATGTGGGCCATTTCTCAGCTTGTGTGTTTTGTGGATAGCGGAAGAGAGCATTCCTCAGGGCCACCCTGAAGGTTATCCAAATATCCCATTTTTAAAGAATGGAATGTATAGCTTTGATACTGGGGCTTGAAACGGGGCACAGGGAACTTAGTTTGCCTACAACTGGACAATATATGACTTTCCCAAAAACTAATACTCTTTTCGAATCAATTGTAAACCCAGTTCAAAGAGAAAGTTCACATGAGGGTCACACATGTGGTGTTCTCACCTTTATTCTTAGGAAAGGTGTAATGCTTCCTCAGATATTCAGAGGCAGGTTGAATATCATGTGTTAGGATATATGTTTCAATTTCTACACCATGAGTTATAAATATAAACACACAAAGTATTTCTCATCCATTATAAAATAATTAATATTTACAACTCTGGTTTTAAAAGGAGTTGAATTCATGGTAACTTAGCAACATGAAATTCAGTGCAGTCAATTTTGCAACATATCTTCCAGAAGTCTGAACTGGACAATAGGATTCCAATTAAACTGTTAATTGTGTCATTTAATATTTGGCATGTAGGGCAGAGGCCCAATACAGAGAGAATAAAGTAGACATAGCATTAATGGTGCAATTCAACTGATTCTTTTCTAAACATATGGCAATTTTATGACATACTTATCAGTAGCTTTAAAAAATAACTAGGTATTATAATTCAGAGTCAGCAGATTTTTAAAAATTTCTCAACGTATTTTAGTATTACATGTACATTTTATGCTGAAATAAGGTGATTGCCTAACCATCCAAAAGCATGGCCTACAAGACCCTACACAGCTGCTGTATCACATATTCTTTTCTTTGCTCACTGTCCTCCAGTCACTTTGGCCTTCTGGCTATTCTCTGAACACATCAAACATAGTTCTGCCTCAAGATCTTTGCATGTGCTCTCCTTTCTGCCTGGAAAACTGTTCACTCATATGTTAATATGGCTCATTTCCTCATTTCAATCCAGTTTCCTCTCAGATACCAGCTCCTCAGAAAGAATTTTCCAGGTATGCTAACTTAAAATGCCTGCCTCCATCACTCTCCAATCCCTTGCACTGATTTCTTGGATTTGTCACTATCTAACTTTATATTTTATATCTACTTGTATGTTTATTGACTGCCTTGCCTACTAGAATGTGAAGTCTTTTGAAACCAAAATTTTGTCTGACAAGACAAAAACAATATGCTGGCATACAGTAGGAACACAATAAATATCTATTGAATGAATAAATGTGAATTCTCTGAGACAAAAATGACTTTGCTTTTCTATAATGCTATCAGTAAACTACTCATTATGAACATTTTCCTCTAGTCATTTGCTTGATTTCAGGGTTATTATATTTTGAGAGAAATATAAAGTCCTAAAATTTGAACTAAGGAATACATACGGAAAGAGTCCATTCTAGATCTGTGATTGTTTATCCCTGCAAAGATTTATTGACATTCAACTGAATCAGTATTGTTTTTTTATATTCTAATGCACATCATCTTTTTAAAAAGTTTTATTATGAAATTCTAGTACAGTGGGAGTATCTCTTGAGGTCAGGAGTTCCAGACCAGCCTGAGCAAGAGCAAGACCCCGTTTCTACTAAAAATAGAAAAAATTAGAGGGGCCTGGTAGCAAGTACCAGTAGTCTCAGCTACTTGGGAGGCTGAGGCAAGAGGATCAGTTGAGCCCAAGAGTTTGAGGTTTCTGTGAGCTAGGCTGATGCCACAGCACTCATGCTAGCCCAGGCAACAGAGCGAGACTCTGTCTCAGAAAAAAAAATTTTTAAATTATCATGAAATTAATATGAATTCACATTTTAGAAATCTGGGAAATACAAAAACTGTATAAATAATAAACCTAATCACCCATAATTTTACTACCTAGAAGTAACTACCGATAGACTGTTCCTTTAAGTGTTAAATAAAATTGGGATCCAGTTGTTTACCATAGATTATTACCTGTATTTTTCCCTTAACATTTTTTATTTAACATTACATCTTTAGCATTTCTTGTGATTAAATATCCTTAGAAAAATAATTTTTAATGTCCTCTCAGTATACCATTATATGTGTCTTAAACATTATTTAAACATTACCTTACTCCCGTATTCTTCAACATTTAGCTGGTTTTTGGTGTTTTGATACCATTTTTAAAAATACTGTAATGATTATATATAATTGTATATATATCTTTGGATAAATTTAGGTAAATGGATATGAATGTTTTAAAGTGACTAATACTAGTTTAATAATGTACTATCTCAATGCTAATAAAGTATCAGATATTCCCATTTATTTAGGGATGAGTTTTTTCAAAAGCTGTATGGAGAATTTTTATGTAAATAACTCATATACTTTGATTCTTTAACTTAATATTATATCATAGACTTCTTTCTATGGTATTACCTGTTTGTCTGCCTCATTTTAAACTATTACATAAAATTCCATATGTAAATGAACCGTAATTTATTTAACCAGCATCCTACTGGTGGATATTTAGTTTTTTCCCCGTTTCTCATGAGTATAAATATTGCTGCAATTAAAACTATCTTTGTTCATTTGTGTAAATTTCTAGAATTAGGTTGCTAGTTCAAAGATATTTACATTTCAAATGTTTACAAATATCACCAAATCCTTCCACAAAAGTTTTATGAATTTATACTCACAGAGACAGTAAATGAGAGTTATTTTCCAAAACCTTCTGTAACACTGTCTTTTAATTTCTTACAGTGCAATAGGCAATATGTGGTATCTTACTTTAATTTTTATTAATTTTGAATATGACTAAATCATTTTTATGTTCGATAGCCATTTGTCTTCTCCTTTAAATTGTAAAAATTTTACATATTTGCTTTCTTCAGTAAGATAAATGCAATTAGTAGCAAATATTCTGTTTCTGCATTACTTTCAAAATTATTTACTTTTCAACTTTGTGGTAGTATGGGTAAAAAATATTATATAACATTTTATTGTTATTTCTGTGTTTTTTTTTTTTTTGCTTTTGGTTTTTTAAGTAGAGGATTCTCTGCTTTTCAAAAAATTTTCCATAGAAAAGGAAATATTTAATGTCTAATAGCTATTATATGCATAGAAATTATTTTTACAAATGGGTAATGTGTCACTGAATTTTAAGAAGGGCATGGATAGAATTATAAACAGGATTCTGCCATATATCATTGGCACATAAATGACAGCATTCATCTATTTTTAATAATTCATTTATAAAGTTAAAAACTTAAGGAATTCATTAAGGTATTTGAATCTGAGGAATCATTCACTAGAACTACTATTTATGAAATGAATATATTATTAACTCTAATAGATGTAGCAATGTAGTAATGGGTAGTTATCTTAAGATCCTCTGAACACATGTGTCTTTTTTTCCTTAGTAAATAGATCCACAGAAATGAGATCTCTTCTGCCGTGATTATATAGTAATCCCCAAATCCCCATTCTTGCTGCCATCAATAAATGAGAATGAGAAGCTCAACTTCTCTTATTCTGTATATTGTAATCACCATCACTTATATTTGAGTAGTGTTCTATTTATTCATAAGTTGATTTCATATCCTTTAACTCATTTTATCCTTGAAATAACCAGGTAACTTAGATAAGACTAAATATACTGTTCTTGTTTTCACCCAAAAGGATAAACAATGTCAGGGAAATGATCTGTTTGACGTCAGCAGTCAATTAATGAAGAGCCAGAATCAGCATTCAGGACTTCTGGGTTTAAGTTGTACAATCATGGTCTGTCACTTACCAGTTGTAGAATTTGATGTATCAGTAGCCTGTATTTAAATAAGGTTGAAAAATGAAACAGAAAACAAAAGTACAGTCTTCTGGTTTTCCATTTGCCTGATGTTTTACAATTTTTTATTGTAAAACACAGCATAGTAATATCAGCATGTACGTTTGTACGATTCTGTCTCTTCCTCCTAAAACTAGAATGGTTGTTTTAGTGTCAGTAGGCCAAAAATCTTTAGAAAAAGTCCACTAAGTGAAAATGATGAGAAACACACACAGTCACACACACTGTTCTGAGTTTGAAGTGCATGAATAAGCATAATAATTAACGTGTATTTGATGAGGCCAAGATTTTATTTTAGAGTCACTTCCATTTTTAATATAATAGTTTATTGTTAATATTTTATCAATAATATTCATATTTTGATATTATGTAAATTAAACTTATATTTTTAAAAGAAATACAGCTCTCAATTGATTTTATTATACTTATTCCTAATGGAAAATTACCTTAATTTAAATCTAGTAAGAAACAGGAATCATTAATAAATTTATCTCCCAACAAAACTTGTTGGAATCTCTGTACATACTCACTCACATTCTACACTGCCACATCTGGGAACATTGCTTAGTATATTTTGTACCCTTTGGCACAAATACATACTTTTCTTAAAGTATGCCCCAAAGATCATTGTCACTGATAGGTGACTAGAGTGCTACCCATCAAGATTTTTTACTTTGAGTTGCTTTTTCTTATGGTAGTGATGGGTACTCAACCTTTTCAAACTCTTTTATATTCAATTCTGATCCATTTGTGAGTTTAATAGAACCAGCAGGCTTGCCTATGATGGTAAAATGGTTTTTCCCATTGAAGCCCTATCTAGCTCTGATAAGGATCAAGTCTCAGTGAGGATTATCTTATTACCACTCTGTTTAAATGAGTTGAGCCAACTGCTTTCAATAATGAAATTATTCCGTGGCAGATTTCATGCTGTACTAACCATATAGGCTCCCAACTTGACGTTTTTTTAAGAAGGAAAATAGTTTGACACTAATATGGCTGCATTTGTGTCTTTTCTCTTGTAACAGCTCAATGGTTATTCGGGACTTAACCTTACGCAGTGCTGCCAGCTTTGGCTCTTTCCACCTGATCCGTCTACTCTACGATGAATATATGTTCTACCTAGTAGAACATCGTGTTGCTCAGGCAACAGGAGAGACACCCATAGCAGTCATGGGCGAGGTAAGGCAGGCTAAAGTGTTATGACCTACTGGGCTTTTTAAAAAGAACTTGAATTACACTTCAATCTAAATGTATTAATTATTGATTAAAACCATGGTACCTAATCAAGTGAGCTTCAGACCCAGGAGAGGCTATGGAGGTATTACAAGGGATCTTTAAATCTCTCTGTTCATATGTACTTAACCAAAGGATTCTAAAATTGTAGATTGTATCAGGTGAAAGCTCATGAAATGTCTTGATACAATATGTAGGTGTCAATGTAAAAAAAAAGCTTGAGAACCAGTGGACTAAAAAAAAAAATCTTTGAGTGGGAAATAAGAAAGATTGATGTTTCTGGTAAGACAAAGGCTAAGAATGCAAAGGAAAAAGTTAAATATGTACTTTGTAGACTCTTTTTCCCAGACCCCAAGATCAAAGTGAATTATTCTATTTTAGAAATAAGGATGATGATGACAATGATAACTAACAATTTTGGGGACCCTTATTATGTACCAGGCACAGTTCTAAGTTTTTTTACACATAACAAAGCATTTAACACTTACAACAACTCTTTGGAATAGGTTCTACTTTATCCTGTTTTGCAGATAAGCATCTGAGGTTTATTCAGAAAGCTAAGACACAGAGAAATTAAATGGTTACATATTAATAGCTAGTAAATGGTAGAGACCTTTTTCAAACAGTCTGATTTTCAGACTCATGCTTCTCACCACTAAAGATGTGAAAAAACATTCTTCTCCAGAATTTCTGGATGGTAATCATAATGACTTACCTTCAACAAGTATCAAAAAGCTAAAACTCTAAAGTTAAAATAAACAAGGGTTGGTTAATATAATAAAGAATAGATGGAAATGCTCAAATGATTTGATACTGGCTTATTTTGTTATATTGAACTGAGCCTACTTTGTACCTTGCTAGATTATTCCAGGTTAGAAAATATTACAAATTAATCAAAGCAATAAAGAAGACATGTTTTTAGGCTATGTGCATGTGCTTATTTAAATTAAAAAGAGTGCAAATAAATATGGTTTGATGCTTTTCCTATTTTAATATATTAATGATAAAGGTATAAATAAAAAATATATTGAAATACTCAATGACATTTATAAGTAATCAAGTATAGGTAATCTAGTATAAATAAAATGCATGTCAAATTAGTTCAGAACATTGTTTCAAATGCTTCTGTTTTCTATTTATTTATTTATTTATATGTCTTTGTATGATGTTCTCCAATGATGATTGTGCTTCAGTGATGCCAAATGAATATGTGTGAGATTAAGCAGGCACACTGTAGCTTTTAAATTATATGTAGGATCTCATCTGGCCAAAGCAATCTGGACTTTTCTTAGATTTGACCTCCTTTCCCCTTGTTGCCTCTTTCTTTAGGTGTTTTATAGATGCCTTGTTGCAAAATGCCCAGTTGACATGTAGATTAAGTACTGTAAAATTTGTCAACTCTGGGTTTAAAACTTCAGAAATGAATATGTCTCTTAGTATATTTAATGCATTTGCCACCCGCCTCATAGGCTCTGGGGCTTCTTTAACAGGATGAACAGGATAATGATAGCAGAGATTCTCATGAACACCATGTGGCTAATCCTGGCGCATGGTCCTTGCTTCCCCTTGGGTCTCTAGGGAACAAAGGCAGTGGGCATGAGCCAAATAATCACCCTAATAGGCCACCTTTCTTTTTTACTACATGTAAACGATCCAAATGATTATGATAGATTGCCACATGAGGCAAAGAAAAGAATCTAAATGGAAAAATAAGATAGGAAGTCAAGATCAAAGAACTAAGCATACTTCTTGATATCTTTGCTCACTATCCTATTATGTAATTTATAGGAAAATTGTTTGACTGTCTATGCTCATCTATTATTCAGCCCAGAAGGCAAATTAAGGTGAATTTTATAGGTTTGATCTCTTCATATAGTACTGATGCCTCATATACCTGTTGGCTGATATAGATCTATTGGTTTTGGTCACATCATCATATCTAAAATTTCTTGGGAAATTTTAGATATGATGATTTTAGATATGATTCTTGGGAAAGGGAGGAGGAAATTTAAGAAAGAAGAAAGCTGTTTTCTTATGTTCCCCTCACATGTTATCCAAAGCCTACCCCCTTGTGGCCCCCTAGGGTGACTTCCCTTTCCAAACACCAAATCCAGAAGTGCCTGTGTACACAATGAGAGCAACTCATCAGGCCAAGATCCACTGAAATCCATAAAAATCACCGTTGCTCTTAATCTCAGCAAGTGGTTTTCAGTGATCAGTAATAACAGCAACCACACACACAAAAAAAAACAATTGTCACTATTTATTGAGAGCTTATTATATACTTAATGAAATTAAACTCTTTATCTACTAATGTCCCTTTCTTAGTAAATGGCACCATGATCCTCCCTGTTGTTCATGCCAGACACCTGAGTGTCCTCTCTTATCTATCCTTCAAATACCTTGACACCAGTCTCCAACCAATTACTAAGTCTTCTCTTTCCCAAATCCCTCAGAGTACAGTCAGTATCATCTTATGAAAATATAAAGCTGATTGTGTTATCCAGCACTTAAGCACCTTACCTGTCTTTCCCCTCTTGCTAATTAAGGAACAAAATTCTTCACTTGTTCTAAGTGGTCTTACATGATCTGGTCCTGCCTCTCTGGTCAACCTAAGCTTCCCACTTCCTACACCTTCTGTTACAATCACAGTGGCCTTTTCTCTGTTCTCTTTCACCAAGCCTTTCTCATCATTGGACCACTTTGTAAATGGTTCTTTCTACCTGGAACCCTCTGCCCACCTCTTCTTGCCCATTCTAACTCCTACTTCGTGTCTTAAATATCAGTTCCTCGGGGAGGCCCAATCCCCCCAGAATACCTTAACTAGACCTATTCTCTCTGATTTGTACTTTTACTTTTTATTCTAGAACCTACACAATAATAGTTGCATGGCTCTTTGTATGTAGGACTGTCTCACTTCAAATAGCCAAATAGGCTTAATCTATAGTTCAAAATTTTCACCATATAAATTACTTGTAGATGGTTTCAGAATAGGGACTATGTGCAAATACGTGCGCGCGCGCACACACACACACACACACACACACACACACACAGAGGCCGACACACTCATTTTCTCTCTCACAGTCATAAACCAGGTGCCTAGCACAAAAGCCTGTATTATTTTGTTCCAGGGCTTCTTTCCTCTCCCTTACAGGATGCCTCTTGATAAGCCTACCACCCATCCTTCCCCCTTCCACTTTGTTAATAGATATTCAGAACATGCAAACTAAATGGAATATTAGTCTAAGCAAATTACAATTGGAAAGCTAAATCTGCCACAAACAACAACAAATTACACCCTTCAGCTCCTCTGTACCCACCCCAAGACCAGACCTAAATAAAAATAATTCTTTTAGAAACTGTAGTTTGGTTTTAGCTGTAAATCTGCTCCTCTACATTAGCAAAACTTCTAACAACTTGAAAATAAATTATGAAAGTGACCCCCTAGAGAGATGTAGGAGGCCCTTCTATATCTTTATCCTCCAAGCTCTTAAGAATTGGCTCTATGCAAGCCGTCCCATTTTTCCTCCTTTTTCCTTGTTTGTCATTCTGTTCGTTTCTCTTCTTGCATCTGAGAAAAGAACCTATTGACTCAGCAGCCCACAGCTACAGACAGGCCTTTCCCTCTGGGATCCCTGCTCATTAGCTTCCTTTATATGGTTTTCTTCCCTGCTGGCTCTGGGCTATAAACCTCTCCTCTTATCCTCTTCAGGGAATGGATAAAATTGTGCTTATAACCGTCGTCTAAAATGGCCACACAGTAGTTGCTCAAAAAATACCCATTTTAGCAAGGAAATGCAAAGGAGTGATGGAAGGACAGACTATACTAATTTGTAGGACTTCTTGTTGGATTTCATGATTGATATACTGGATTTCTTTACTCTGGAAAATAAATCTTCTAGACCAAGAAGTACACCTTCTCCTTAGAAAGTGCCTGTCAATAATATTTCAGAGAACCTCTGTATGAAATTGGGTTTTCATACGTGCTTACAACTAGACAGCATTTTTCCTAGAGTTCGGAAGTGAGAAAAGAAACAAAAATAGAAGTTCAAGATTCCTTAAAACATTTCAAGGACTAAAATGGTCACTGTAGGTATCAGGAGGGAAATCTCAGCACACAATTCTCTTCAGCAAAGCCTACCCCACTAGGTTATTTATTTAGAAAAAAGTTTGTCTGGTAGCACTGAAGCTACTTGGGCAGCCCCAACCAGAGAGCAAGCTCAGTGTAAAAGATTCCCTGGCACAGATTAAGCATGACAGCTCCACCTACTGGCCACTTGTCCACACTCTGTTATCCTTTGCCTAGCCCAAATGGCTCTGGCTTTGAGATTGTCTTTATGGTGGGTTTGCTCTCATCCACAGGTAAAAGTGGTAGCTGGCCCTGCTAATAAAGAAATAGACCTTGTTTGAGATGGGCAGATTCCTAAATCCATAAGAATTGTTTTCTGCTTTTCTTTATATCAGCATTGTACTAAAATACACTGCCATAAAATATATTTTTTATATTTATTATTTCAGAATATTATGAGGGTACAAACATTTTGGTTACATAAATTGCTTTTGTACCATTTGAGTCAAAGTTATAAATGTGCCTATCCCTAGATAGTGTGCACTGGACTCATTAGGTGTGAATTTACCAATCCCTACCTCTCCCCTCCTACCTGCTTGATTTCTGATGAATGTTATTTCCATATGTGCATGTAAGTGTTGATTAATTAGTTCCAATTTAATGGTGAGTACATGTGGCGTTTTTTTTTTTTCCAATCTTGTGATACTTCATTTAGAAGAATGGTTTCTAGCTCCATCCAGGTTAATACAGACAAATTAGTTCACTATTTTTTTTTTATGTCTGAGTAGTACTCCATTGTATACATATATCACATTTTATTAATCCACTCATATATTGATGGCAGTTGGGTTGTTTCCACATCTTTGCAGTTGTG